CATATACTTATACCTATTCCAATGCCGGCTAATTTCGTTGATAACAAATTGAAATAATTATACTGAATATTCCTCAATAAGATTACCAAAGTACCTGCTCAACTTCATGAACCATGTAATAAACGACGAAATTGAAATATATCTCTTCAGCATATTTATTGCTGAATTTATTTGTTATACGAGCCGATAGATGGCGGTACAACTACATTGCTAAGAGTTACTAACAGCCGTCGGCCTAGCGCCAACAAATATGAGCCTCAAACAACTGTTATCATCTTTCATTAGTTATTGGACCGCACCAACCTTACATTTTCGGATTCGGATTGTTACTTTATATCTGGAAATAGGTCGGCCATTTGCAGGATTTCAGATTGAAAATAATGCATACCGTGTCATCCATTACTGTCATCAAACAAAAAACCTCCTGAAAGTTTCTTTAAGATGTTCCATATGTTCCCTGAATATCTCTGGTACGTATCATCCCACAAACATTCTGATGGGATGTTTATAAGACATCGCAAATGCTGACACGGGTGTTGCCAGCAACATCCCAAGAATGTCCCAAGGAGAATAGGGATTTTCCAGAGATGTTCCTATTATCCCATATTGATGTTTCTACGACGTCTTATACAGATGTTATTGTGTTATCAGGGTTCACCTTCCTTCTATAAAATACTACGAGAAAATTCATCTGAAATGTCCGAAGTGCCATCAGATTCACTTCTGAATCAATGTATATAAGAATGAGTATATGTGTATGGGTAGTAATAATAGTAATATGTTGAAAAAAATCGCAGCAGTAGATTTTTTCTGAAAGATATTTCGAATTATCGAAATGGAGAAGTACAAAATTACTGAGTCAACTTAGATCTTTCAGGAATGCAGCAAAATAGTTTTTGTCAGTCTCGTTCATGCAGCATTCATTTCTTAAAATGTGTTCACCATCTCCATTGCAGCAACTTGGAAGAAAGGAATATTTTTGTATACTGCTTAACCACATGTAATCTGTATTTTACCCCCTTTTGGGAAACAAATTTCAATATGTTTGTACCGTATTTTACCATAATTTCGTAAGCTTCAAACTGGACCAGAGATATTTTTATGAACAAATTTCCCTGTTAACCTGACGAGTAAGTAACCTCACTTTCATCAAATACAACTATCTCAAATTTCGATTTTATGATAATGTTTTCCTTCAAAATCAAGAGTTCATCAACAAATAACAAGTCACCAATCTATTTGTACCTTTTCCTAATATTAAACAAATTTCCAAAAAATTTTTCATACATTTTTTCGGAATTTTTTTTCGAATTTTCAATTTAAATTTCATTCCAATAGCCAAAAGCAGATTACTTACTTACAGGTGTGCCCTGATGATGACTTAACAGTCGAAAGCGCTCTGCTACGAATATTAATTTGAATAAATTTTTTCTGCAACCGACACAAAAGTCGTCCATTTTGATACCAAAATTAGCTCTTAAATTGACGTTTCTATTACTGACACAAAAATAGGTATGTTGCTAGGCAACATATTTAGTTCCTAGGAGCTAAAGTTGAATTTTAGTTCCTAGGAGCTAAAGTTGAACTTTAGCTCCTAGGAACTAAAAATAATGTACTGGACATCATCAAGAATAAACAACATTGTGACGGTTGGGTATTTGGGTCGAGACGCATACCTGATTTGTTTCCGATTTCAGCAGATTTGGCATTTCATACCCATGCTGGAGATATGAATACACCTTATTATAGTTCAGTATTAGAATTAAAAACTTCTCAGTTGAGTATTTTTGTTTTGATCAGGAAAGCCTTCAAGATTCAAATACTTGCTTGATCTGTATTTCATTAGTTATTCTCGGGATGGATGACTTGTTTTCGAATAATCACGGCAAGCAATATTTTTTTTGTCTCAAACAACGATATTGTTTAGCTTCATTTGATTGTCAAGTCAAACACAATGTAGTATGGAGAGGAATAAATAATCATTATATATCATTGTTGATATGCTTACTAACCTAACATTTTCTAGGTCTTGTTCCTATAGCTGGCACTGGCGCGGTATTTGCCTTTAGAGCACCTGGTCCATACACGAATATGTCTCTGTGGTTGTATTTATATTGAAACTACAATTTGAACATCCTAGAAAACCTAACCTGCTGTTAATGCAGGTAGAATATTCTCACCACATGGATTATTTGTCAATATTTGTTGCATTGCATATACATATGGCATGGCATTGGTGGTTTCTTAACATGTTTATTTGAGTTAATTGTTTCGGTTGCAGAAAAAATAGCATGTTTCATTCGGATCAAAAGTGACTTTGTTCGACTCGCAAATTTTGCTTTCGCTCGGCTTCGCTAAACGCTCCGCCTCGCAAATGCAAAATTCGCTTGTCAAACAAAGTGTCACTTTTGATCCTAATAAAACAATCTACTATTCTTGCACGAAATACAACACTTCCCTTCTTTGGTATATATGTATGTATATACAGGGTGATCCACGGTGGATGGCCTATTAGAAGTATCAGTCTGAATTATTTTCATCGATACAGTGTTGCCACTTTTATCAGAAACAACTAGCAACTTTTTTATTTCAAATGGAACACCCTGTATTTCATTGCATTTTTAGATTCTTCCTGGAAAGCTGATTGCATCAATGTATCACACTTGGGGTCTAGCAGAAATGATTACAGAGATATAGGGTGTTCAAAATCGAGATTTTTCAATTTTAGGATTTTTTTGTGTCGAAACTATTCATTATCGATCAAAATGGCTCACATGTCTCTATCTTAACTTTTGATTCACTATCTACTGGAATCTGATTGGAAAAAATACAGGGTGCTTCAAGATTCAGAATTCTGATCACCCTGTATCTGTTCCAATTAAATGTCAGTAGATAGTGAACCGAAAGTTAAGATAGGGACATGGAAGCCATTTTGATCAATAATGAATAGTTTCGACAGAAAAAAATCCTAAAATTGAAGAATCTCGATTTCGAACACCCTATATCTCTGTATTCATTCATGCTAGACCCAAAGTGTGATACATCGTTGAAATCAGCTCTTCAGGAAGAATCTGAAAATGTAATGAAATACAGGATGCTCTATCTAAAATAACGAAGTTGCTAGTTGTTTCTGGTAGAAGTGGCAACACTGTATCGATAAAAATATTTTAGAGGGATAGAAAATATTCAATTATCAAAGCATTCCAATTTTCGGACTGTTCTGTCTTTTCGTTCTCCAGATACTTCTAATAGGCCATCCACCGTGGACCACCCTGTATACACGTGCACACAGCCCAGCAACCAACCCTCACTAAAAAAATATGTATTTTTCTGTTACGGAAGAAAAATTTTGACAGGTAACAAAATGTCACTTTTTCACCAACATATCATGCGCCTAGACGAATTCGAATTACACGCTCTGTGTGCCCAAATATCACCCAAGATATTATAAGTCTATGTGATCAACTATATAACGATCAATATTAATAGGTGATTATAATAACAAATGAGTGTCATATTTTTTTTCAGTGGATCAGTAATGTTCCAATAGATCAGTAGATCAATATGCAAATCAGTAGATCTCCTGAAAATTAAGTAGAACTGGCAACCATGTCGCGTGCTTACCCGGCAATCTGGTGATTCCCTGATCTTACCAAAGCAAAGGACGTCGCGCACTTGCAATAATGCCATTTTGTGAAGTGGTGGTAAAAAGTACATTATATTGATATTATTTGTTATTTCATCATGAGTAATGAACGCACGTTTCAGCGTTTTCATTCTCAGTCAAGAAATTTCAAGATTTCTTGTTACCTTGACAAGAAATCTTGGTATTGACATAACATTTCTTGTCTTGTCTTCAAATCTAAAATCATGTCTTGCCTAAAATTCAAGACAAGATCAAGACAAAATCTTGAAATTTCCAAGAAGTTGACGATCCCTAGTTGATATAGCAAATACATACAATCACTCCCTAACAACACGAGTCCCAGGGACGTCCCAGGGACGTCTATCATTTTCTATGAGGACGTGTCTGGGATATCCTGTGTCGGGACATGGTACATACTAGGGACGTCCCAAGGACATCCGCTTTCCACAAAAAGAGGCATCCTAGGGATTTCCTTCTGGTACGTCCCTGGGATGTACCAAGTACGAAGGAAGGATATCCCTAGGACGTCCCAAGGATATCCCAGGGACATCCCTTCGACAGAATAAAAAAAATTTAGGTCGAGTACGGATTGAACACGGGACCTTTGGCTTATCAGGCACGCATCTTACTTCATTGGCTATTGAGCCTCCTGAAGATTTATGTACTAAACAGATTTATAAACAGGACTTAACTACAGAAACCTGAATAAACAAAACTTTGTTAGGATTTGGGTATAATTATTAGTTCTGAAACTCCATTCTTCATTTTCATCACGATTATTTTCCGGAAGAAGAACAAACATTTTCAAAAAAATGCAACTTAATGCTTTGATTAAATTCAATGACTTTGATGTGAATGGATATCAGATATTCCAAGGACACGAATAGAAAAACCTAGGGATGTACCGGGCGGGATGTCCACTGGACAACCACTGCGCGACATCCCCTGGATGCCCCAATCATGTCCTTGTACCGCGGGACAAGAAAAGGACGTACCTAGGACATTCCTGTGTTGTTAGGGCTTACTAGGCAAACAAATTCAACAGTGGTGAACTATTGATTGATTTTCGTAACAAAATATGGAATTGATTTGAATCTTCTTATAATAAAAAATGAAATGAAAGATGTATCACTCAGTGTAGATGGAAACTCATCTGAAGGAAACCTACCCATTCAGATATAAGTAAATATAGTGTTATTGGTAATTGAGGTAGGATTATCTGTTTTTATTCAAAACAAAATACCTAGTTGCTAGGAGTCAAATTCAGTCTAATAATATGGAATATAATATTTTTGCAATAACAGTGACGATATGATGATGCTGTGGTTTGAAGAATTGATATATTGATACTCACAAATCAAGTTACTTCAAACACAGGTTAGTTGGGAAAATGCATCCACATGTATCGACTATTAATTCACTATACCAATTATTTCAGCACTTTCCGACCCTTTTATCAACTTCCACGTCCCAATTTGACCAAATCAGTTCGAATTCATTACTTCGATGAATTGATAAGTCAATATTAATTAATGAAACAACCATTGATATGGCATCTATAATAACTCAATGAAGGTTAATGAAGAACCCATCGTGAATCATTATCAAAATTTCGAACAAATTAATCAGTACACTAAAGGGAACCTGGGGATTGGCAATTATTGGTATAGATATTACACAGAGAAAATTTCAATATTGGTTTCTATATTTCAACTAAACCCTCTGTTCGCATTCGCTTCAGTATAACATCATGAAAAATAATCTTATGTGATATACAGGGTGTCTGTAAAGGGTCTCAACAAAAACATAACACATATTCCTTTGACCAAAATAAGTCGATTCAAGTAAAATTACCTCAGTACAAAGTTGCATCGTTTGGGCTCCACAGGGCCTTGAAGTTACAATTTTTGAATCGTTTTTCTCATATAAATTTGAAACGGCATATGCGATTTTACTGAAATTTGGTATATTGAAAACATTATTATTTCATGTTGATGAAGTAACTTTATTACAAAAGTGTGATGAATTTCAAAGAAACTATTCAGATATAATAGGCCTTAGCTCTTCACTTCAATTTAGTAGTAATTATCAACTATAGTTAACCAACTATGCAAGGAAATAATACGCAAATATGGAATGCCAGAATGCGACCTTACGGAAGTACTTGCAGCAATGTTATCATTCTTCACGATTCCTATCACTTCTGCAGCAGCTGTAAGGTCATTCAGCAAATTAAAAATAATTAAAAAATATTTGAGAAATAGTATGAGCAAAAGTCGACTTCAACATTTATCGCTAATAGCAATTATCAAAAACAAAACCGCATCAACCCTGGATTCAAACGATGTTATTGATACTTTTGCGAAAATTAAAGCTTAAAATGAGATTGTAACGAGCAGCGAATTTTGCAATCATTTGCACAAAATTGATGACATACAAAGATCCTCATTGATTCATCCAACACAGTAAAACAAGAGCAATTTTGTGTTATAGCCGTAGAAAAATATAACTGTTTAACAATGCAGTGTACGAAAAATAGCTGATAATAAAGTAGCTCAGCATTTTTGAAGTATTTGTATATTCAATATTTTTACTTGATGAAACCTCACCAGTTCAAATAGCAGTGGAAACTAGCTACGCCAACTCTAGATATTTCCATCCTTAATAATGATAATATCTACAAGTATTTTTTTCCACCACTTGTTATAGCACCTACCATTATTTACTCCTTTTGAAGAAGTAAAGTGTGTTTTTACTACCGAGGTAGTTCTCGTCATATTATGAACCACTAGTTCATAAAAAAAAAAAAAAAAAAACGTTTACTGTCCAAACAGGACAAGCAACATAATCAACACAGCAAAATTTTAGTACAAGAATGATGAATAATAAGTTACAATTGAATATTAATTCACATCTCGATTCTGAGGAGAGTATTTCTCAAACAATTTCTGAAACATCCTATTGATGTTGAAAATAGATCTATTTGATTGCAGATGTTATTGAAATTCTTACAGATTCGGTATACGAGAGACTTGGCTATTATATTCGTTATTTGTTGTTAGATAAAAACATGTTTCATTTCGGTTATTCAAGCGAGGCACATGGAAGTTGAGTTGTGACAATAGATCTGGGCAATCCACAAGATTATGTGTAAACTTATAAATAAATATACATGAGTAATACTTTCTTCGGTCTTCGAGAGATAGTAACGAAAATCTATTCAGCAGTGAAGCGTTGTCTATACCCTGTTCAGGGTATATCCCATCAATTTTAAATGCTAAATATTTCATGAATAATCTCTGTACTGACTCTAGACTCTGACTATATGTTGAATATATAGGGGACCATATAAGGCAACCATACTCTAACCGCGATCGCACATATGAGTTGAAAAGATTTATATAACTTTCTTGATTCTGGAAGTCTTTACAATTCCTGAATATCATGCCTAACATTATTTTAGCTGATGATATAATTTTAGTGATGTGTGGCAAGAACTGAAGTTTTGAGTCAAAATAGACACCAAGATCTTTCGTTAGATTGTGTTTTTCGAGACTGTTGCCGTTTATAGTGTAATTAAATTCAATCATATCGACCTTCAGTGAATATGTTGCTGAGTGACACTTTTTCATGTTGAGTGGTAATTTATTTATTCTCAATGCACCAAGCAGCCACTTGCTTGATGTCCTTTTGGAGCATTTGACAATCAGTAATTGAGTTGATGGATCTGAAAATTTTTACATCATCATCTTACTAGATATATTATGCGTTATATCATCAATATACAGAGAGAACAGCAATGGAGTCAAGTTACTGCCTTGGGGTGCTCCACTATTGGCTATAAAAGTAGGTGATTTGTGTCCCATATATTCAACATATAGAGAGCGATTTGTTAGATAAGAGTGAAAAAAATTCAACAAAACATCATCGAAACCTGAAGTTTTCAGTTTACATAAGAGAATTGAATGATTCATCTTGTCAATTGCATTCGAGAAGTCCGTGTATATTGTATCGACTTGGGAATGTGCGTCGACGGCATTGAAAGCTATTTGGGTGAAACACATTAAATTCGTTATGGTCGATCTTTTCGTTATAAAATCATGTTGCTCTAAAGCTATTTTATTACCTAATTTGGAAAACAATCTATTGTATATACAGATTTCGAAGGCCTTTTCGAAGTTTGACAATAAGGTGATTGGCCTATAGTTTGTAATTTCATTAATTGAACCATTTTTGAAAATAGGACATCAAATTTAAGAAGTTTTCCATTTATTTGGAAATGTAGATGACTCCAAAGCAATATTGAATATAATTTGTAGAGGTTTGGCTAAAACATATGCACAGTCTTTCATAAAAAAGCTTGGAATTTTGTCATATCCACTAGTGTGTTTTGCCTTCATGTTTTTCAATACCCTGATAACTTCATCTTCACTAATGGCTCTTACTGACACTTGTAAGCTATTTATTCGAGAGTTTCCAACAGTTTCATCACCACTCGGTTTGGCATAAACTCCATAAACACCACCAAAAAAATCTGCAAAGGCTTTTACAATTTTTGAAGATCATTATATTCGGTATCATTTAGATAGAGTATACTAGGAATTCTGGAGGTCCCCTTTTTGCTGTGAATAAATGACCAAAACTTTGATGGATTTGACCTTATAGATTCCTCCGAGACTTCGATATAATTTTTGTATGCTATTTTAATTTTGGACTTCATGGACCGTCTCAGAACTTTGAAATTTTCCCTCAAAATTTCAGAGTTTGTCGATTTTAATTTATTGAAAACTTTGTTTTTCTCTTTGATTTCATATATTATCTCCTTGGAGAACCAGGGAGGATATTTTCTGACAAAGTACTGCCTGACTGGTCTAAAATATTATATGGAACAGAATAGAAGTTATTCAATGCGATATCTACATTGGAAAAAGATTCTAAAAAATCCCAGTTCATATAGAGCATGTGAGAGTATAATGAGTTGAAATTTTTTTTCCGGAAATTGTAATTAGTTGTGTAAGTGTTATGTTAGATAGCTTGTCTGAAAAAACGTGCATTTTACACCTTGGAAGTAAAGAATATTATTACCACGGGACCTCATACCTCTCGGCTGAAGCCTCGGGATATAATCTTTGTCTCTGGGTAATAAATGATATTCTTCACTACCTTGGTGTATAAATAACTATTATTATCTCCAAGGGTATCGCGAATGTTTCAAAGACCTCAATATTCAATGATACTTTGATATTCCTACTTAATTATTGATGAATACATGTTTAATTATATGAAAGTTTAAATATCATGTTGAACATCGATTTTTTCAACTTTTCTTCATTAGAACTTTTTGCCAAATGACAATAAAGTTTGATTTCAACTCGCAATTAATATTTATCAGTGAAACAAGTTATCGAATGCATGTTAGGGAAATTGATAAACAACTACATTATACAGGGTGTTTCGTAATATGTAGGACGCACTTCGAGTGGTAGGGTGTATCAAGAAAATAAAAAAGTTTCCATGGATAAAAGTAGTAGAAGATTTTGTTTGCGAGTACAGGGTGTCGAAGTTGAAAAAAAAATATAATTCTCATTGAATTTCTAGATTACCGTTAACAAAAATCCTTGATATTGTGATGCATAACTTAGTATACCTGAGAGTGATTGAATGGGTAGCATTGTTTAGTCAATCTGGCTCCTAGTGGCCCGTTTAGGGGGTAATAATATGTGATTTTTCAGAAGAAACATCCCAGAAAACGAATTCACGTTAATAACGCACAAACATTACATAATTTCCCCGATCAGTTACGTGACAAGAGAGGTAATAAGTAGCTTCAAAATTCATGAGTTAACTATGCTGAATGCCTGCATTACGTTACAGTATAATTATGTTACATCACTTCTATGTTATGAAAGTTATATTATAATTACATCAAAGAGAATTCTATGTGACGTCAAAATATGGATAACATTAATGTCTCACTCATATAATTGCGAGATAACTACTATATTTGTGTGAATATAGATAAAAATTCATAACCATGCTAATTATTGCTTTATTGAACAGAGAATACATCAAAAAAAGTGGTAATTCACTAATCTACAGTATGATGTTTCTAGAGGTTGAGTCACTTTCATATTCCACTTTTTGCCCATATTGATATAATACTGGAACTCCAAATTCGTTTGGGATAGTTGCTAGTTCGGTTTTTTTTATCGCACACTGCTGCCTATGTGAATTTCATCTTGGTGATGTTGAACAATGAAAATCTCTTGAACATTTTGAGTAAGCTGACACCTATTGAAATAATTACCTCAAATTGCTGATGAATGTAAACGATCACCGTCTACCTTACGGATGTTTTTTGTTATATGTAGGAGAACACGCATTTAACATATTATTCAACTCACCAAAATAAAATAGAGTATTCCAC